TATATATATTATACTGTATATCAAACTCACATGTCCAGCCTTGTCTGTCCCCCCCTGTTCTCTCCAGAGGCAGAGGCTCAGCAGCAGGCTCTGGCGGCAGTGGAGGCAGTGGTGCAGGGCCTGTCACCAGCACAGCAGCTGGAGCTCAGGAACCAGCTGGACCAGGTGCTTAGCTGCGTGGCCTCGCTGCGTTCAGAGGTGGCTGAGTTGAGGGGTGGTCTGCAGGACATTGCCCTACAAATCATCCAGGATGTCAAGTGAGTGACAGTATGGTGAGCTATATAGAATCTGCCCTAGTGAACCTCCTTAGATTAGGAAACCTAATAATGTTTTTGGTTCAACATGACTAGATCAAATTGTTTGGATGTAACACTGTTTAAACCCACAATAGTTTACTTTAATGTAATCTGTACCAGTGACTTCCACTGATTCACATGCCCTAAATTATATATTATATCTCAGAACAGGCATTATACACCAACCAGGCATAACATTATGACCAGTGGCAGGTGAAGTGAATAACACTGGCTATCTATTACAGTGGCACCTGTTGGTGTGTTGGAAGCAGGACAAATGGGCAAGTGTAAGGATCTGAGTAACTTTGACAAGGGCCAAACTGCGATGTGACATGACTGGGTCAGAGCATCTCCCACACTGCTTAGTCTTAGTGGGTGTTCTTGGTCTGCAGTGGTTAGTACCTACCAAGTGTCTAAGGAAGGACAGACGGTGAACTGGAGACAGGGTCATGGACGTCCACAGCTCACTGATGATGAGGTTGACCTACTGTAGGTTAAAGCTTTAACTTCCATTTGTACTTTTCAAAAGATTAAAATTTATTTGAAGCTTTGTTAAAATTGTTGAAAATGAGAAATACTGGTCATTGGTCTCTATGAAGAGACGGAATCAGGGGCTGTAGTGGTGATATCACACCTAGAGTGGTGAGGCTGTTGAAAAAATTCTCTCTAACTTGTCCTCATGACCACAGTTTTCACTCCTTTTTCATAGGTTTTTCACTGAATTGTAGACACATCTGTGCTCTTCCTGATAGTAGAACTGTGGAAGCAAATGGATTAACAAAAGATGCAGAGTGAGCTGCAGAGTGACACAAGAGCCAACCAACTGCCACATTGACTCCTATGTAAACAGTATTAGGCAGGTGGTTATAATGTTATGCCTGATTGGTGTATAGCTTATATATCTTTCACACAGTATGACTTGGTCAAACTGTGTGGACTGTCTTTGGGAACTAGTTTGTGTGAAATTGAAAACTGTGAGGGGAACACTGGTCCTCAATAGATCAACTTGTTTGTAGTGCATTCATACTTGTCTGATAATAAACATAACTATGATCATTAATATTAATAAGGTCACTGGAAAACTCCTATATTTCATTTTCTATTGCATGACACCAGTGCCAACAGGATTTCCCACAGTATAAAATTGTACAGTATTTATGCTCTCATCTGTTCAAGATAACACTAACTGTACAACACAGTACTGAGCCTGAAGTCAGACAGACAACACACTCACATTGTAAATACTAGAGGATAATTCTCTAGCTCTTTTATCAAAGGTTCCTCCCATTCCACTATGTCAGCAGTTTATAAGGAATGACTTAAATCCAGGGAAGATGTATGTAAGGAGAAGGATTTTAAATTCAACTCTGGATTTTACAGGGAGCCAGTGGAGAGAAGCTAATATGGGAGAGATATGATCTCTCTTGCTAGTTCCTGTCAGTACTCTGGCTGCAGCATTTTGGATTAACTGGAGGCTTTTTAGGGAATTATTGGGACATCCTGATAGTAAAGAGTTACAGTAGTCCAGTCTGGAAGTAACAAATGCATGGACCAATTTTTCAGCATCACTTTGAGAGAGGATGCTCCTGATTTTGGCGATATTGCACAGGTAAAGGAAGGCAGTTCTAGAGAGTTGGTTTATGTGTATTTTAAAGGACATATCCTGGTCAAAAATGACTCCAAGGTTCCTCACAGCAGTACTTGAGGCCAGAGCTACTGTATATCATCAAGAGTAACTGTATGGTTAGATAGCAGATTTCTATGGTTTTCAGGCTGAAGTACAATAAGTTTAGTTTAGTGTGGTTCCTTCAATCTCAATATGTTGTAGTCTCTGTAATAAGATATTGTGATCAGCATTTGACTGTGTCACTTTATCAACTCCACATTCAGAAAGGGGGTTGAAGACAGTCAGCGAGTCCGTCGGCGGCGTCATTTCATCCACAGAGAACGCATTGACTCCCCCAGCTCCAGTTCCATCTACTTCACTGCCAGTCAGGGCATGGTCAGCACATATGAAGAAACCAGCGAAGGAGGGTATGTCATGGGTTGGTGGTGTTAAATAATTGTACAGTATGTTCACTTGTTTTTGTTAGGTGTATTTTTGATATTGTGTTTTTGGTTTCACCATCTCATATATTAATGATATTACATAGTGTACATGAATAATAAACTGTATGATTTTAATGATTTTCTTAAAAGATAATTTGTGTTTTTTTGTAGTACAGATTAGGTGGCAAAATCATTTGCCTCCTTGATATCTAAAAAGAGACTTAGAGTCCATTAGTGATTTAACATAGTACCAGGTTTGATACAGCTTGTGGGCATTTTTAATTGGCTTCAATCATGTCATTTTATGTAAGTCAGTTACAGAAGGTGCTGCATGTGACTAACACTAAGTTGTGAACTGACTAATGTAAATTTCATGCAGTTTTCTTAATCGATAGTTGGCCACATAAAATTTTATCATCAGCAATTTATGAGATACATTTATTCATAATGAAACGTTTTAACTACTAATGTCAAGTTAAGTCAAGAATCTTTATTGTCATTATGCATAGCACAACAAAATCTTTTCCAGCAGCTCTCAGCTTAAAAGACAGACATATTATTTACATAACACACAATTGTATAAGTCAATATAAAAATATGAATAAATGAAAAGGGATGTATGGAACCTAATCAGGTCAGCACAATGTTAATGTGATCTATATTCTTCTGAAATCTGATTATACTGGGAATTTAAAGGTGAAGTAAACACCCAATCACTGAGATACAAATGAAATAACACAAATTAATGACTGTTGTTTAGAATTTCTGAACTTGTACTCCTGTTTGTTGCTATTCAACAGCTGGCCAGACAAATTCAGTCCTGGTTTTATGTAAGGTAATATACATACCTTACCTTATGACCGGAGTGGCTTGTTGTTTGTTGACTTTAGGTAGCAGCACTCTCAAGCAGTAGAGCTGCTCAACTAGTGGCCCTCCAGATGTCTCAGCAAACATATAACTCTATCTCAGCCTCTCCCAAATTTACGGTCGTGACCCAGACCTGTTCTTATTAGGCTAGTAAAATGCATAATAATCCTATGATAGGTGAATTAATTTTCCAAATCAACATTATAAGAAGAGTGCTTTTTTTTTCTACTCAGGCTTATTCAGCTCAGATGCTGTATGCAAGGCTCTCTATATAAACCATGGACTATAAACATCTGCAGCGTGTGATGATGAGCAGTGACCACTGTAAAGAAAAATGATAGGAAGTTGTCCTAGAGGCCAGGAACTTTTCAGTGTGTCTACATTTGTTAGGTCTCAGAGATGAACATTACTGGAAATGGAAGAGTGGTGTGTTCATGCCCTTGTGTTGCTGTTGTCGACTGTATGTCGCACTGACGTTTGAAATTTGTGGTGGTTAAGGTCTGATGTGAACCAAATTAATTCAGGCAAATCAGCCCAATGATTATTTATTATTACAATACTTCCAAACAGTTCAATAATTTGCAAGGCAATTCAATAATCTAAAAGATAGGGAACAGAATCACCGTCTAGTCAATTCAAGTCAAAATTTTTATTTGCCATTTATGCATAAACAGACAGTCTAGGCATATAGGAATCCTTGTGCAGCTCTCCTTTGGAGTCAGGTAAGGAGTAAAAAGCCAGAAAGAACACTTAGTCTTAAAATAAAAAGTTACATAAAGGCAACAAAGCCTTAAAGCCGCAATACACAAAAATAGGTTAAAAGCAGTTGTAAAGTCTTGTTCTGTGCGTGATGATACTGTCCGCCCTGCTGTGCCTGAGGCTGTAGGTGCAGTTTTTTTTGTCTGAGCAGAGAGTAGGCTGGGTGGCATGGATCCCTGATTATGTTCTCTGCTCTTTTACGACACCGCTGTGTGTACAGTGTGTCCATAGCAGGCAGTTCAGTCCCAGTCATCCTCTCTGCAGTCTTTATGACCCTTTGAAGAGCCTTCCTCTCTGCCTGTGTGGTGTTACCATACCAGACTGTGATGCCAGTAGTGAGGATGCTCTCTACCAGTCCTCTATAAGCCTGGGTGAGTCAGCCCTCTCCACCTCAGTCCCTTTGATGGTCAGAGGCAGCAGAGGGGAGGGGTTCTTCTTGAAGTCTACTATTATTTCTTTTGTTTTGTTTATGTTGAGGATGAGGTTATTTTCCTTTCCATAAACAAGAATGTCGTTCACCAAGCTTCTGTAACCCGACTCGTCTCCCCCCTTGATGAGGCCCAGAATGGTGGTGTCATCAGCATATTTAATGATGATGGTGTTATCATGGTTGGAGACACAGCTGTGGGCGAGGAGTTTGGGGCTGAGACAGCAGCCCTGCGGTGAGCCTGTGCTGATTGTGAGCTCAGCAGACACCCGCCCTCCCATTCTGACCACCTAACCGGCAGCGGGAGATAACTTTTTGTCAGGAAGTCCAGAATCCAGTTACAGGTGGGAGTTGGTACACCAAGGTCTATCTTATTCCCAATCATCTTACCCGGGCGAATGTGTTGAATGTATAACTGTAATCCAGGAAGAGCATCCTAGCATATGTACTGCTGTTGTCCAGGTGTTTCAGGGTATGGAATAAAGCCAGAGTTGTCGCGTCGTCCACTGATCTGTTGGGGCGGTAGGCAAACTGGAGGGGGTCTACAGTGTCCAGGACCATGTGGTTAACATGTGAGGACCAGTTTCTCTAAGCACTTCATGGCGACTGATGTGAGCGCCACTGGCCTGAAGTCATTCAGAGTGGATGTGTCTGATGTCTTAGGGACCGGTATGATAATGGATTTTTTGAAAAGGTGAGGAATTACTGCTTGGATTAAAGACAGGTTGAAGATGTCTGTATATACACTAGCTAGTTGATCCCCACAGGCTAGCAACACTCTAGGGGGGATACCGTCTGGTTCCGCCGCCTTATGGGGGTTTACCTATCTCAGGGCCTTCAGGACCTGTGTGTACGTCACCTGAACGATAAATAATTGTAAGACAGCAAGTTTTCCTTCACGTCTGCAAACACGCTTTCTGTCTTCACTTTTAAGAGGAACCACCCTTCGATGTACCCAAAAACAGGAAATGGCTTGACCGGAGAGCTTGATCGTCATGTGTGTCATTTTGACACACACACACACACACACACCCCATTCCTGGAGCAGCCTGCCAAATTATGCAAGCATTGTCTAGCTCAGCCTGTACTCTCTGGCATATTACGTTCTAACCTGCATCTTGTTTGTTTTTAACCACTACAAACTAGTGTTGCACGATATACCGGTACTAGTATGGTACCGCGGTACTGAGGCATTTAAAATGGTACTATACTGCATTTGGATGGGACCGGTACTTGCAGTGCCGCCGGCAGCGCCCACCCGCAACAGAGGAAAACAGAGCAGGAAACAGCTTCCTCGTCCTCTGCTCACTGAGCAGCGTGGACTGGAGCAACAAACGGAGCAGAAGGAAAGCTTGGAGAGAGCAGAGACGTTGGAGAGGGAGAGAGCGAGAGAGAGAGAGAGAG